ATGCTTGGATGCTGACTATATTCTGCTGTGCCCTGTGCTCTCTGCTCCTGTGTTTGTGACTCAGGATTCTGACCCACCAGGTGCCCACTCTCCTCCACAGGCACAGACGTAAAATCCCAGCAATGAACTCTGACCTTTTGCCTTTCCCATTGAATCCAGTCTGGAGCCTTCACATGTTTTGTTTTTTCTTTTACCCAGATGTTCCTAACCCAAACTTTTTTTAGTGATCAAAGTCTTCTGTTTGCATTTTGAACCATGTATTATCTCCTCGCTCTTTCCAAATGGAAGCTTTTCTGTAATTGTTTGCTCCAAGCTTAGAGAAGAGATTATTTTGCTCAATTATATGTTATGCTTGTAGAAAACCTTCTATGCATTCAAAGTGAGGTTATTCTAAAGAAACACACTTGGAAGAAAATGTCCATTGCCTTTAATTTGAAGTGTAAAATAGTGGAGATTACATGGTTGAGTTTTATATGGAAAAGTGAGCAAAAAGAGATGTATTTAATTTGAATGAAGCAAGGAACAAGACAAGAGGCCACCCCAGGTATGTAACAAACCCTGGTTTGTTAGCTGCTACTCCAACCCCAGCATGACTTATTTTCTTTGTAAAATTTATTCAAGTTCTCATGGTTAATAATATGGAGTAACTGTAATTATTACCATTGCATGTGTGTAAAAATGTTCRTTAGAAGAGGATCTGATCTGAACCTAGAACTTTTCTTCAGCTGAGTCGTGACAAACAAAAATATTTTGTTTTAATTTAGAAAAGCTTCTCTTTGTTATTAATTTACTTTTTCAKTCTTTCATTAAACCATTGCAGGCTGATACTGTCCAAGATGTTATACTGATCCAGAGGTAAGGTACTTTTGCTAGAACTGAACTTTCCAAAATGCATTTAACAAGTAAAAATAAGGTAAAATAAGTCAAAAATTATTTAATAAAAATTACAAATGACTGTAGAATATGTGCTAGGAGTCATTTTCAACCAATTTTCTCGGGGTCTTCTGTATATAATTAATTAATAATGATTCATCCATCTTTCTTTTTTTACCTGGGCAGATTTGAGTCTCTGCATACAAACCACAACATGCACAATCAAAATGACTAAGGTCATAGATTTAACAAAACTTGTGGTGTTTTATATACATAATGTTGGCAATCTAAAGAAAACTAATATTTTCTTCTAATATTTTCTTTTTGTTACAGTTTGTTTTACACACACACTCACACACACACACAC